CAGTCTCCACTCATAGCATAAGAGTTCTCAAACCAAGAGCAGCTGGGACAGCCTTCTGCAGTAATATACAATAGGCTGGTGGCAGGGCCTGCCTCTAGGGATTAGGGGGGGATCTGTGAGATAGGCTTTTCCTTGATTACCCTTTTGTGTCATGTGCATGTACTGCCTGTTCACAAATAACATGTTGTAATTGGAAATGAAAAAGATAATGTGGGGAGCTGCTAAAAATGCAGGTGCCTGGGCCGGCCCGTGGCTCACTCGGGAGAGTGTGGTGCTGATAACACCAAGGCCACGGGTTCGGATCCTATATAGGGATGACCGGTTCGCTCACTGGCTGAGCGTGGTGCTCACAACACCAAGCCAAGGGTTAAGATCCCCTTACCGGTCATCTTTTAAAAAAAAAAAAAAATGCAGGTGCCTATCCCGTAACCCAAGAGTGTGACATTGTAGGTCTGGACCAGGGCCTCAGGAATTTGTTATAAATGAGCACCCCAGAGGCTTGTGCTGCCTGCTAGGCCCAGGAACTGTTTGTTTAGCAGTTGTTACTGAACACCTCTGTGCCAGGCTCTGGGCTGAGTGCTGGTGCCACAGCCATGCACAGAGCCCTCATGGGGGCCTGCTGTCATGCCTGGGAATCAGCTCATTCCCTCCTCAGAGCTGCCCTGCCAGGTCATTGGAGGGAGCACTTGGATTATTAGTTCCATTTTACAAGTGGAGAAGCACAGGCACAGAGAGGTTCTTGGACCAGCCCAAGGTCACACAGCCTGGAAGTAGCAGCTTCCCTTGGGATCCCACCTCACCACCCAGCTGCCTGTGTCTTCTAGGCACTTCAGTTTCTCTATCAAACCAAGGGGTTATAAGCCAAGAGAGTAAGCTATGAAAAAAAAAAAAAAAAAAAAACCAAGGAGTTGTATATGGCTCTCTTCGGGCACTTCCAACTCTGGATGCTACAAGTCTGCAAAGTCCCCAAATCTCTGCCGCTTTTCTGAGAGTGGCAGTGACTGAGAATGAAAAATTCCTATTTAATAAGCACTTGGTTATATATATTGTCATTTAATTCCTACAAGAATCAATTTACAGATGGGCAGTCTCAGAAGTTATCTGCCTAAGGTCGCCAACTGGTGGGTTGGGGTATTGGGATCTGTCAGGCTCCAAAGCCCAGTCTCTTAACCATGAAGCAGTAGTGGCCCCACAGTCATTAAGGTGTATTCCTGCTGAGCACTCACCTGTGCTGGGCCTGTGGGTTGGGGACCCAGGAAGAGCAGCAGCCCACATCCAGCCTTCTGGAGGCTTACAAGTCTGGTTGAGGCAACAGAGCCCAGTGAGGTGGGTGGGGCAGAGGTCAGGCAGGGGCTCCAGAGAGTCAGCCCCCAGACCTCGTATTTCTGCCTTGTAGCTGGGGCCTGGCGCCTGAAGCAGCTGCTCAGCTTTGCCTTGGGGGGACTTTTAGGCAATGTGTTTCTGCACCTGCTGCCCGAGGCATGGGCCTACACCTGTAGCACCAGCCCTGGTAAGTGAGCACAAGCTGGGGGCAAGAGGGCAGGAGTGGGGAGCTGGTGTCCATGCCCAGGGATGGCCTAGGCCCTGCCTGCTCTTTGCCTGCTCTGCCGAAATGACTGGGAGACGGGTTCTGGGCATCTGGCAGGGAACCTGCCTGGGAGGAAGGGTCATCTTCTTGATTCCAGCATCCTGGTCCCAATCAGCCAGTCCTGGACCCCCACCCCATCACTGCCCAGGACTAGGTCCCATTCCAAACAGCCCCCTCCTATGGCCCTGGCTTGGCCTGGTCTGTCAGTGCTGCCCTCTGCAGGTGGCAAGGGGCAGAGCCTACAGCAGCAACAGCAACTGGGGTTGTGGGTCATTGCTGGTTTCCTGACCTTCCTGGCCTTGGAGAAGATGTTCCTGGACAGCAAGGAGGAGGAGGGGACCAGCCAGGTGAGCCCCAAGCCCCAGGGCCTGGATACACCATCCTGTGTTCTCTGGTGGTGCCCTGGAGGCATGGGTTCTGAGTTGACCCCTGAAAAGAGGCATCTCTTGGACCTTTCCTGGGAACTGTAGGATGCTGGGCCAACTTCTTTAGGAGGATCTGGGGAGGGACACATCAGCCCCTGCTGTGGCTTGTTTTGATAGACGGATAGTGACGGCAGTGTGGGGATCAGGTGTTTGTTGAGTTTGGGGCACCCACTGATGGAGCAGCAGAGAGGTCTAGCCAGAGGAAAGAGGTGCTCCTGTCTCTTTATCCATCTCTGTCCCCTTCTGTGTCCACCCTGGCTGAGTGGGGGGCATCTAATGTCACCTCTCCCTCCTTCTCCTGGCCCTAGGCCCCCAGCAAAAACCCCACTGCTGCTGCTGCCGCGCTCAATGGAGGCCGTTGTCTGGCCCAGCCGGCTGCAGAGCCCGGCCCGAGTGCTGTGGTCCGGAGCATCAAAGTGAGTGGCCCACTCAGGGCCCCCTCTTCCTGCAGCCACACACCCAGGTAGCCAGCCTGACTCAGCCCTGCTGCCTCGCTCAGCCTGGCTCTCTCTCCCCTATCCCAGGTCAGTGGCTACCTCAACCTGCTGGCCAACACCATTGACAACTTCACTCACGGGTTAGCTGTGGCCGCCAGCTTCCTTGTGAGCAAGAAGGTAAGTGGGGTGTGGGGGGGCGCAGGTGGGGCTCAGGCAATTTTGGTGGGAATGGTGTTGACCATTGGTTCCACCTCCAGCATATGTCTCAAGTCTGTCTGCTTCTGGCTCCCTCCATTACCAGTACCCTCATCTAAGCCCACAGTCCTCCCTGCTGCTCTCCTGGATGCTGCCATAGCCACCTCTTTGGTTTCCCTGAACTTTTGTCCCGAGGCACTGGTCTGTTCTTGTTTCCACCATTCCTTGTTGGGATGCCTTTATCTCCAGCTGCTAGGCTTGGCCCTTAGGGGTCTTCTTCTAGACGCTTCTCCCTCCACCTCCTCCCTCTGCCCTCTGTGCTCTGACCCCAGTGGTCTGCCTACTCTTGAACTAGCCAAGCTCTTTCCTATCTCACACTGTCCCCTCTGCCTGGAATGTTCTTCCTCCCACTCTTCGAACGGCTGACGACTCATCCTTCAGGCCTTGGCACTTCCTCAGCGAGGCCTTTGCTGACCTCCCCAACTAAATGAGGCCCTTGTATTCCTGGCCCACGGCACCAGTCCATGCTTTTCCTCACAGCACCCATCAGCACGTAACCACACGGTTCTGTCTCCCCTCTAGACTGTTAGCTTCATGAGGGCAAGTTTCTTGTCTCTTTTACTCACTGCTATACTTCCAGTAGCCAGAACAGTGTCCAGCCCCAAACAAGCAGAGTAAATATCAGTAGACTGAATAACCACACGGTTCTGTCTCCCCTCTAGACTGTTAGCTTCATGAGGGCAAGTTTCTTGTCTCTTTTACTCACTGCTGTACTTCCAGTAGCCAGAACAGTGTCCAGCCCCAAACAAGCAGAGTAAATATCAGTAGACTGAGTGGGCAAGTGGGGTGCCGGGCCCTTGGCACAGACCCCGCAGACTCAGGCTCCCCTCCCTGCAGATCGGGCTCCTGACTACCATGGCCATCCTCCTGCATGAGATTCCCCATGAGGTGAGTGCCCGGAGGGCGGCCTCAAGGGGCCCAGGACTAAAGGTTCCTACGGTCAGCACGGCATGGAGCTGGGGCAGCAGCAGGCTGGGGCTGGGCTGTGTGGGCTTAGAGCTCCTCCCCCACCAAGCTGCAGCCGCCGCAGGACTGGTCCCAGGGGCAGGGTGGTTGTGGGGGCATGGAGCTTGGTGTTTGTGTCCTTACCTGAGGCATTTGGGATCTAGTCCAACTGGGGCCCAGGGTGAACATCTGCACCTCCCCTCAGGTGGGCGACTTTGCCATCCTGCTGCGGGCCGGCTTTGACCGATGGAGCGCAGCCAAGCTGCAGCTCTCGACAGCTCTGGGGGGCCTGCTGGGCGCCTGCTTCGCCATCTGCACACAGTCTCCCAAGGGAGTAGGTACGGGTGTGGTGGGTGGTGGCGGTCAGCAGAGGGGACCTGCCAAAGGGTCGGGGCTGCCCTGGTCTCCCCTGCAGGAGGCAGTGGGGTGCATAGGGTCCCCTGTGCTCCCAGCCAGTCGCGCGTTCCTCTCTCGCTGCAGAGGAGACAGTGGCCTGGATCCTGCCCTTCACCTCTGGCGGCTTCCTCTATATTGCCCTGGTGAATGTGCTGCCAGACCTCTTGGAGGAAGATGACCCATGGTGAGTGACCCATTGGGACTGATATTCACGGGGCCCACGGGACTGGGAAGGAGCTCCTGGCCTCTGCCTGCTCCCCCTGCCAATGCCACCACCCTGAGCCCTGGCCCCTCTCCCCACAGGCACTCCCTGCAGCAGGTGCTCCTGCTCTGCATGGGCATCGTGGTGATGGTGCTGTTCTCACTCTTTGTGGAGTAATCATCCCCGAAGCCCCCACCCCCACACAGCAATAAGAGACTTGATTCACTCTGTGACTGTGTATGTGAGAGGCAGAGAGGATGAGTGCCTGTGAGAGCAAGCGAGGGGGCATGTGTGTGGCGTGCACGTGTGGCCAGAGGTGTGTATGCGTGAGACCAACACTGTGATCCCTGTGTGCCTGCCCCTGCTACACTGTGGTCTTCTCTCCTTGCCACCCTGCCATCTCGCACCTCCCGGAGTAAGCAGTGAGGAACAGCAGCATTGGTCCCAAGCAGAGGTCTGCCTCACTAGGACCCTGCCTCAGTGGTATCCCAAAGGGGAGAGAGTGGCCCAAGGAACCCAGGATTGGAGGGAACCCCACAGCTGTCCTGCCTCCCACTGGAGCCCCCTGGGCCTCTGTGCCTCTGTGCTGAGGGAGTAAACCCCCTCTTTGCTCATGCACCAGGCCCCGGGCAGCCTAGGGGCCAAGGCTGGGGCAGCTTCTCGCTGCTGTGTGCATTTTCCCAGCCCTTCCTTTGCCACTTTTACAGCCAAAGAAAGGAGAGGCAGGTACTCATATAGCTACCAGTCCTCTCAGCACTGACAGTCCCTCCCTTCCAGCACTGAGCTGGGAGATGCTTTCCAAGAGCTCTTCCTCAGGGCCACTGCCCTTGGCCAACTCCTCCCCCAGCGAATGCTCCCTGGCAGCACCAGCAGCTCTTGCCACCTCCAGCTGCCAAACGGCAGCCTGCAGGGCAGCGAGCAGCCCCAGGCCAGAGGTCTCCCGGTCCAGCTCAGGGATGCTCCTGCCAGCACAGGGTCCAGGCAGAGACTTGGGCAGGAGAATGAGCCACAGCTGCCTGTCCCCGCTCGGGCCCCTTTTCCTTTCCCATTGGGGTTAGGGATAAGGTGGGGGTGGTGAGGGCTCCACATTGTCAGTGCTCAGGAATGTGCTCTGGGAGAATGCAGAAGCCATAATCCCCAGCTATTTCCCTTGGCTGACGCCCAAGTACTCAGCTGGACCTCTCCACAGCTGGGCTCCAGCCCTGCCGCTTGACTGTTGATGTTTTGAGAACTAGCCATGGAGAGGGCCTGAATGATCTTACAGCGACTTTGCCGTGGTTCTGTTTGTATCTGTAAATACCTGTTCTATAGATAAGGTACAAATAAATATTATCCACAAACCGGCTGCCTGTTCTGCACACGAGATCCCATGGCCAAGCAGGGCTTTTCCTCGGTGCTCCTGGCCAGGTCCTTGTGTCAGAACTGTGCATCTCTGAACATCTCATGTTTTCCTGGCTTGCTTCATTTTTAGCCTTTTACCCTGATAATGGCTGAGCACCCATATGAGCCTGGCACTACACCATTTTTGCCCCTCACCACCCTCAAGGACGTTGACATTATTTTACAGACCTAAAAGCCAGGAGTTTCTCCCCTGCTACCCCCTTAATTTAATCAAGGAAGTGAGCTCCATCTACAAAGTTATCTCCAGGTTTGGCTCCAGTGAAATCATCATTCATTAAGAAAAGAGGGCTGGCCGTTAATCAAGGAAGTGAGCTCCATCTATAAAGTTATCTCCAGGTTTGGCTCCAGTGAAATCATCATTCATTAAGAAAAGAGGGCTGGCCGGTTTGTTCATTTGGTTAAAGCCTCGTGCTGATAACAAGGTCCAAGGGTTCAGGTCAGGCACTGGGTGGTATTGCTTCCCCTCTGTGCTATCAGAGAATGCAGAAAGGAGAAGTCCTGTCCACCTCTTTTCTCTCCAAGCCAAGCAGAATCTTTAGTAGCCCATTGGCCAGGATCAGCAGAGTCTGTGCAGTGTCATGGAGTCTGGTATAGGTGGTGTTAACATCACATCAGCTCCATCCTTAGCTAGCAGTGCCTAGCTTTAAGTATTTCTATCAGCAAAACACTTAGAAGGTGTGTAATATCTGCTTCACCTACCAGCAAGATAACTGACTAAAGGACCTAACAGGTCTAGGCCTGATAGACCCAAGGAACAAACCCATGGCTGTCTTCACCAGCCACCACTCGGCCCAGTTTCTTAAGCACAGCTATTAAGCGGGGATACGCTATTAGTGTTTATCCAGATAATTAGATAAAATTACGCACTAAGACCTGTATAGCATGTGGCATCGAATGAGCCCTCAAAGAATAGTGACCCACACTAGCTCATGTGAGGTGGGAGAGCTAGAAAGTTGGACAGGAAGGGATCAGCGAGATCCTAAAGCAAACTGTGTGAGAGGACAGGGGGCCTGTTGGAGTGGGAGAGAACATAGCAGGACAGAAGATCAGGCCTAGAAGGCTCTCAGAATAGATTTTGTTCAAGGCTCACTTTTCAGCCAGAGGAAATGGACCAAAAGAGCTAATAGGGGCATATGGAGAAATAGGTGGGCCGGACGGTTAGCTCACTTAGGAGAGTGTGGTGCTCAAGGGTTCAGGTCAGGCACTGGGTGGTATTGCTTCCCCTCTGTGCTATCAGAGAATGCAGAAAGGAGAAGTCCTGTCCACCTCTTTTCTCTCCAAGCCAAGCAGAATCTTTAGTAGCCCATTGGCCAGGATCAGCAGAGTCTGTGCAGTGTCATGGAGTCTGGTATAGGTGGTGTTAACATCACATCAGCTCCATCCTTAGCTAGCAGTGCCTAGCTTTAAGTATTTCTATCAGCAAAACACTTAGAAGGTGTGTAATATCTGCTTCACCTACCAGCAAGATAACTGACTAAAGGACCTAACAGGTCTAGGCCTGATAGACCCAAGGAACAAACCCATGGCTGTCTTCACCAGCCACCACTCGGCCCAGTTTCTTAAGCATAGCTATTAAGCGGGGATACGCTATTAGTGTTTATCCAGATAATTAGATAAAATTACGCACTAAGACCTGTATAGCATGTGGCATAGAATGAGCCCTCAAAGAATAGTGACCCACACTAGCTCATGTGAGGTGGGAGAGCTAGAAAGTTGGACAGGAAGGGATCAGCGAGATCCTAAAGCAAACTGTGTGAGAGGACAGGGGGCCTGTTGGAGTGGGAGAGAACATAGCAGGACAGAAGATCAGGCCTAGAAGGCTCTCAGAATAGATTTTGTTCAAGGCTCACTTTTCAGCCAGAGGAAATGGACCAAAAGAGCTAATAGGGGCATATGGAGAAATAGGTGGGCCGGACGGTTAGCTCACTTAGGAGAGTGTGGTGCTAGTAATACCAAGGTCATGGGTTCAGATCCCTGTCCCAGCCAGTGGCCAAAAAAAAAAAAACAAAGATCCAGGGGCCAGGAAACTAGGAAAAACTTTCAAGGACCAAAGACCCAAAGCCTGGCTTTATAAGCAGACAAGCACTAGGGCCACAGCATCAAAACACAGAAAGTAAAGGCTGGCCTCTGTTCAAGCACTTCATTCTGGAACTGCAGGGCCACAAGCCTCTAGAAGCTCAGCGAGGTGGGGCTATGAAGAGGGACACAAGGCTTTGGTGAAGACTCCAGGAAACAGCTGCAGCACCCTACACACCCCAAGGGCCTCACCCTGACAACTGGTTTGGGGCCCACAGCTGTCTCAGGTTTCCAGACTGCAGCACCTGGGGAAAGGGCCTCCTGCACATGCCCCCACTCAGCCACCCAGAGTTCAGGGGAGGCAAGACAGTCAGGTGGCAGGGACCCAAAGCCATCTTTTATTACAAACTTTAACCAGCAGGAGACCAGGGGCAGGTCTGGGGGTGCCCCTAGGCGTAGTACTGCAGATTGGCTTTCTTCTTGGCCTGCACCTCGAGGATGCCCTCCATGTAGTCCTCGTGGGTGAGCTCCGTGGCACCCCTGCGCAGTGCGATCATGCCCTGCAGCCAGCACAGACAGGGCTAGGGCATCTACCCGCACCCCTATCCCTGCTCCCAGAAGCCTGGGCCTTCTCAACCTCTTCCGTCAGCAGTCTCCACCAGCCAAGCACCTTCCACCCCTGTCCTGTCTAGGGAAGGGGCAAGAAGGCAGGAAGCAATGCACCCACGCCACCAGACCACTCACCGCCTCCACACACACGGCCTTGCACTGGGCCCCATTGAAGTCATCCGTACAGCGAGCCAGCTCCTCGTAGTTCACATCAGGACTGGGGAGAGGGCAGACATCACAGACTGTTACTTATGGGGAGGGGGCAGATGTCCTCCCACACCCCCATCAAGCAGCAAAATCAACTTGTCCTATGACCATGGGCAAGTCCCTTACCCTCTGCACCTTGTTTTCTTCTCAGTACAAGATGGGGTGACAAAAGAGGGTAAGTTAAAGCAGGTTAGACTAGGGACTAGGGTATTTCTAGTGCCCCTTTTTTTTTTTTTGGAGGGGAGGGCAGCTGGCTGGTAAGGGGATCCGAACCCAGCTGAGCTAACCAGCCAGCCAGTGCCTGTTGAGCTCTATCTAGCCTTCTAGAAATTTGCATGGAGACTCCAGGGACTGACCGAGTCTGAGGCAGGGGAACGGGGGGTTATGGAGACAAGACGGTCTCACATACTCCCAGCAGAGTGGCTCCACAGCAGCACAGAACTGCTGCTACTATACTGTCCTCTTCACGTGCCAAGCACTGTGCTCATTCCTGTCACATCTAATCCTCACCACAACCCTCTGAGGACAATGCTATTATGCCAAAATCCCAAATAATACAAATGAGGCTTAGAGAGGCCACACCACCTGGCAAAGGTTGTAGGTCTGAACTCAGGTGTACCTGGCCCCTGGCTAGATTCCCCTGGGCCATGCTTGGGCTGTGTGCATCTGCTTGGGTGTGGGAGGCTGGGAAACTGGCCCTCTGGCCTGGCCTCTCAGGTGGGAGTGTTAGGGAGGGGGCAGGGGCATGGATTCTAAGAAGCAATGGACCCAGATGAGGGCCTGGGCCCCACCAAGACTGTGTCAGGCAACCGGGGAGAAACAGGCCAGCGTGTGGAACAGCGCTGTGTGTGCATGGGGAGGGGGAGATGGTGGTCACGGAGGCTGGGGAGCACAGTACAAAGAGAAGCAACAGCGTCTTGCTCACATCCGTGCTCACCTGACATTCATCTTTCGGGAATGGATCTGCATGATTCTGGCCCGGGCCTCCTCATTGGGCATTGGGAACTCGATCTTGCGGTCCAGTCGGCCTGAGCGGAGCAGGGCAGGGTCCAGGATGTCCACCCTGTTAGTGGCTGCAATGACCTGAGGAACAGGAGAAGCAGCAACTTGCACTGAGGAGGAAGGCATTCACAGATGGGCAGTCATGGTCATAAAAGGCAGAGGCAGCCCAGGGTGCAGGTGAGACAGCAGGGGACATTAAAGATAGGCCCAAATTATAATTCTAGCCCCACCATTCACTAGCCGGCTGACTTGAGACGGTTCCCTGACCTCTGAGCCTCACTTTCTCCATCCAGTAAGTGATAATACT